AAGATTTGAAATGCCGCTAAACCTGGAAACAAAATTCAAGTTTTGCGGACGATACTCGTTGATAATCATGGAGCGGAACTTGGCCCATTCGTTGATGCTGTTGCCATAAAGAGTTTGTTGTTGCCACCATTCCTCAGCTTCGCCACGTAGCTTCATCACCGCATATGGAACCCATTGATGCTCCTCCCAAGATGACAACTCCAAATAACGTTCAACAGTGCGCACCCAACTTTCCACCCCTCCAGGAGATCGATCACCAGCAAACGAATCAGGCTCTGGTAACCGTGGACGAATGAATGAAGTGCTTCTTTGGTTGTTACGCAACAATTCTTGCATGCCCGCCATCAATGTCAACATTTGCTCTTCTACCGTAGGAGCCCTTTGTGCTTGTCCTGGTGCTCGTTCCATAATGTCAAAGGTAGGTTCCGTTCTTGTAATAAAGTCTTCTTGTGATCCAGAGCTGTTGCTGTCCGATTCAAAATTGTTGCTGTCCTGAGTGCGATATACTTGAAACGATTCCCGGTTTGTTGGATCAATGTTCATCAGCTACCAAATGTCGGTCCAAATCTGAGCTGGTAAACCAATGGCCAGAGATAGAAAGTCTAGTACACTGAATAAAGTACAGACGTAAGATGATGTTTTATTGTATCAGAATGAGGGGATATTTATATGTGTTGGCTATCTATGATATGGAGGGCGCAGTCAAAGAGATGGGCTTGGCAAAGGTGGCGAAGTAGAAGATGGGTTTGGTGGTGTGGCGGTGTCAATGGGCTTTGCATGATTGCAAGTAGAAGATGATGAGGCGTAGCTTGCCAAAAGAGATTGCTCGGCCAAAGGCTGCGACTTCTTGATCGGTATTATCTTTTTATACATCTTTATCATCTTATCTTCTTTATGCTGCACCCTCCATCATCACTTCGCCACATCCATATTACTTAGCCATCTTGATATACTTAGCCCCATCCAACAATTATAAATAGTGGACCATCTCATAGAATAAAACATTATCTTACGTTCTCTTTACTTTATTGTCTATTTGCCTGTGTGGCACTATTCTCCTTCGTGGTCCTATTCCTGTGTGGTCTATCTACCTTCGTGGTCATTATCTCCTTCGTGGAAGTCGTCTATTATCTTGTGTGGATCCAAAAAGAAAGACGACACTTTCAGAGGAGACCTGTCGCAGCCTTTGGCTGATCAATCTCTTTTGGCAAGCTACGCCTCATCACCTTTTGCACACGTTCATGCAAAGCCCATCGACACCGCCACACCACCAAGCCCGTCTCATACTTCGCCACCTTTGCCAAGCCCATCTCTTTGACTGCGCCTTAGATATCATAGATAGCCAACACATATAAATATCCCCCTCACTCTCATGCAATAAAACATTATCCTACGTCTGTACTTTATTCAGTGTACTAGTCTTTCTATCTCTGGCCATTGGTTTACCAGCTCAGATTTGGACCGACAGACCCACAACTTGCTACATAACCATATATGTAATAAGATAAAGTATAAATCTTTTGAAGTTTTCTTCATTCGCGATCATGACGTGGACTAAGGCACCAACGATCAAGCAGTTTATGAAGCAATTTGACAGCCATATGGCTGCTGTGAAGTAAGTTTTTGGTTTTCTTGTATATCATTTTCAGCTCCTTGAGCGTATGTTTTTCAGGTGGTTGCAAGAGGAGGGTGTCTTTGATAAGCATGCCCCAAAATGCCCTAATGGCCAAAAAATGGTGATTTGCAAGGACAACTCCAAGTCAGATGGTGTGGTATGGCAGTGCGGTCATTGTAAATGCTGTGGGCGAAAGAAGAAAACCATTCGGCAAGGCTCGTTTTTTGAGGGATTGAAAGCAGACCTCGATGACATTCTTTTGGTGATGTACTGTTTCTTGAACCAATCGAGTCAGAAGGAGATTCCGACATATACAGGAAAGAACCCCAAGGTAATTCGATCGATTATTCGACAGTGTTATCGCCTTATTGAAGCAGATTTGACAATTGAGGATATGCGAGTTGGTATGTTATTCGTATTGTACACTTGCATTTGCTAATATTATGGTAGGGGGTGTCAATGACGATGGTACACCAATTATAGTAGAGGTGGACGAGTCACTTTTTTGTAAGATGAAGTATGGTCGTGGTCATTCGGTGCAAGGTGTTTGGGTTGTTGGCGGTGTTGAGCGTACGCCAGAGCGCAAGCTATTCGTTGCAACTGTCCCCTATCGCAATAAGGACACATTACACACCTTGCTTACGACGTACATCAAGCCTGGCACTCAAATCCATACGGACCGATGGCGGGCTTATAACGGTATCGATAAAACATGCGATGAAGATGGTAACCCACTTGGGTATACCCATAAAAAGGTTTGTGATGTATGTATATCAAATGTAACGAGAAAGTCTTTGAGAATGCGTGTATATTCAAAAAAAAGAATCCACCTATCAATCTAATGTCTGAACTACGTATTTATACATCGGCTATAGAAAAAGTTTTAATCCAATGGCAGGCTGTTGACATGGGTTAGCGTTGATTGAGAGGTGAATAATGTGAGATGCTGGCTTACAAGTGGACATGTGTCACTTGGATGATTTGTCTGAGATGTGATAATGACCGATCTTAATCA